CACACACACACACACACACACACACATACATACATACATACAGTAAAAATATTTGTATACTGTAAATAAAGACAGAGCACTATGTGTATATTAGTATACTTTTATATGTTTAAATTCATTTTTCAGGTACACACACACTTGAAATATTGTTTTTTATTTCAAATATCTAAGATTCAGTTCTGATTAATAAATATAAATATGTATGAATATGCAGCTGGTCAGAACTCATTGATTTGTATAAGAAAACACGTGAAACGCAAAATAATTATTTTAAGCCACTGTTAGTCATTTAAAATTACTTCTTTATTTAAAATTTCCATAACTATAAAATTCACAATTTCCTCAGCTTTATTTTGAACCATAGTTTGTAAAAATCAGCAAGAAATAAGCTTCAGTGTGTGCACATCCAAATAGCTAGCAACATGCTAATCATGCCCAATCCAGTAATATATATCAGTGGATCAGACTAACTGGACCGGGATATCAGTGGTTACAAATAATCAGAGATCCCTTTAACTTTAATTTGTAGCAAGTAGTAGAAATTATGGTACCAAGGTAGGAAGGAACCTGTATACCTATTTTGTTTTAATAATTACATGCAGGTTAATAAAACTTACAAAAGTTATTATTTTTATGTCACCATTGTTTGGCACAGTGTAAGTTTTTGTTCTGAAGGCTGCATGATGTCATTCAGTTTGTAATGAGTAGACCTAACCCCAAATCAGAAAAAAAATGCTTCCCTAAATTCACTGTTGGTGGTTATCATAAATGCACCTGCTCATGGGTAAATTTATTAATATTCTTATTTTATGCAGTTGAGTGTCATCATTGTTTTGCACTAATGTGCAATGTTACATGTTACAAATAAAACTAACTCGAGAATCAACAAAATAAAAGTAAAATGCACTCCTAAAGTTATTGTGATAAATTGTCATATTAATGTTATTGTCTTCGCCATAGCAGCGAGTTAGAGTGAGAGAAACAGATAGGCGTGTGCATCTGAAAATAATCTACATGAAAACAGCATAATCAATTTATTAAACACATTAATGTATAATGGTTAAAATTATGTAAAAGGAAAATTATTATTTTTTCTATTTTGCATTTATTTTTCATTTATTTTCTTCTTTTGCTTTAAGGTTTTTGTGAAGTTTATTCTAACTGATTTCACATTTTTAACCAGAAAATAGGAGGGAGACAGGCAGAGACAAAAAAGGCAGCTGAGAAGCCAAAGAACTGAAAGAGCACCGTGAGACAGAGGAGGAGTGAGACAGGAGAAGAAAGGTGAGAAGAAGAGTAGGAGTGGGACAGGGAAAAACAAAACTACAGGCATGAATGTTTGTGATTAATTTATGGAACAATTTGAATTGTAGTCCTGGCCTGGTGGAATTGAGATGAAGAAGCATGTATTTATATAAGCAAGAAAGTTGCACCCTGTGTAGTGTTACAGTCTGATGTAAATCTGTATTAATAATAC